CTTCGTTAAAAAGGCAAACTTACACATTAAGAACCTAACTAAGCACAGGACGAATTATGAAAAAAGTGCTAATTGACCGGCTGACCTGATCGCACCTGACCCCGTCCATAAGAGAGGGGGGGCGCCCAAAAATCTTCGAAAAATGCGAAACGTGACGGTTGCCTGTTAGAAAGCAACTTCGATTTTCCCCTTTCTACTGTTCGATAACTTCTTCCGTCGCAAGGTTTCAGATTAGGCGCAACCACCTAAGAATGCATATCTCTGAGATCGCACCAAGTGGTAAGGTCAAAACGTATGCACACCACTCGGAGGATTAGGGCAACTACCTAGAAGGGGGCCAGTCACAACGATGAAGTCAGCGTGAGTCACATCGCTCATGATCTCAGGATCTGCCATCAATCCCACCAATAAATTTTGAGAAGCAACCCTATTTTGGAGAGTTACCGTCCGCCTCTGCTGGCGTTTATAAGCATTCCAAAATCGAAGATATAGCGATCTAAAGATATTCCGAAGAGAAAATATATACTAAATGCTGAGCAGCAAATATACTGACGCCCGCGAGACATTCAATCCAACATCTCTCTGCAGTTAAGAGCGGATATCAGAGTAGCTGCAGATGACTACAACATCACAACACATGCATGTGCGTAATAATTTAACAAATGTAATCAAAAAGAACTTCTCCTTCGCCAAACTCACACCATCTAGAGAATGACAGCCTTTTGTGTGCGAGCAGGCCAAAATAAGGGCAACCCTGGAATAACTTCTTCGTTAAGAAACTAGATTTTCATCTCGCGAAAGGCACCAGAGAAAAAGAGAGAGGATAAGAATAAGCGAGTGAGAATTAGAAACGTAGAAAAACAAAAGACTGACAAGTCCACAATTGGTCAGTCGGGTTGTGCTAACAATCCTCGCGTTACATGAGAGAACATGTTGTAAAATTAAAATCTATTCTGATTCACTGCGAACTAAGAGATATGACAATACTTATGATCGTAAGAGACAGCCTATTCTGCATCTTGCTGAAAATACCAGGGCGATCTCTTTCTCACGACTGTCCATGGACATACCAGCACCATCCATTCGCAATGTTGAACCACATTATCCACTGTTATCAGTTTTCGCACAATTCAGTCAGACCACCAATTCTTCCTGACCGCTACCATCCAATCCAACCACTTGAGACCGCAGATGAGGATCATCGACCCTACATCTACTGACACCTGATCTCAATACTAAGCGCTTAGAGAACAGTTCTCCAAGGTAAAACTTCTAATTCAGTCCCGCGAAATGGACAATGTAAAAAGTATCACTATTAAGTATCCTTACATAGCAGCTCGTAACAATACTCCGAACAAATATACCGCCTATCAGAAGCTTGAACGACATTCGCTTGGCTAATTGCATCGATGAACGTCAGAAGGTCCTCTACCGAACAGGATGGTCAACTTTTGTAATATCGAGCATATTTTCTGTTCCGCCGGAAAATTTGTATACTCGCTGCACTAATAGCCGTAGAACTGAACCAACACATAACGATATCTTATAACATGCAGAACATTGGATAGATTATAGAGCTCAAAGTTATGCCCTCGTCTCTCCTCTCTGACAATTACAAACAAACGAATAACAATTTCTAATCACACCTGCCGACCCACTATATTTAATTTTCCAAACAATTAATTTCACAACTCCTCCACTAATAGGCGAACCAACTGGTGACACTATATATTTTAGATCGATATAGTCCTGGCAGCTATTATGCATACTTGTAGTCCACACGAAAAAGTAGAGATTTTTCACAGCAGCTCCAGATGACTGACCACGTGCACCTATATATTTGTAGCTCCCTCCTCCGCTCTTCCTAGAACACAGCGTTCGAGACCAAGAGAGACAATTGCAAGTCTTCTCCATAGTCTCTCTCGTAATCAGAGCAACAGACATGACTCGTGATATCGTGTGATCGAACCAAGGCCTACACATGAAACTTCGCCCGGCGATTCATGACGGACTGGTTCCGAGAATAGTACTAGCACAGTCATTGCCAATCTCTCGCTGCGTCCTATTAACAGATCGACACTCCGCCTACGAGCGCTAGACTGAACTCAGATAGAAACTGATGCTATAACTACGTAGCAATACTTTAGAAGATCGCGATACTGAGATCGGACTGACCACTTCTCGAACTAGAACTTCAAGAGCGCGAGTTACCAGAGCGCTTTTCAGTACAGGCCTGGCAGTCCTCGGCTCAAAACAAAGAATAAGACACTGTAACTTTTTATCAGTATCCAATAGAAAAACTAATACATATCTCATTATATATCTACTCAGCATCTCTGCGCTATTCAATCTACCAACGACAACTACGTTCTTGCGAAGATTAAACAAATACAGCAAAGCCACGAAGACAGTGTCCAACTTCTGCACCCTCACACAATCATCGAGATTTCGCATGGCTCCAAAAGCACGCGATCTACAAAGAGAGATCTATCATGCAGATCATAAAAAAGCAGCAATCTCATCGTCGAAACTCGTAAAACAGCATGATTTACCAGTCATGCGCTAAAGCGTGGCTGATCTTAGGCCCCGAATTGGATTCAACAGTGCTAAGCGACAAATGCAATCAAACAAAAGTCACACGTTTCGACTGAGGAGGACTACATATCAGTTTCAATTCAGTGTAAAAGAAAAACGAACTTCGAACTGCAGTAAGCATAAAAATGATATATACGCAAAAGGAGGAAGAAAAACACATAGTACTTGTTAAATAAGATACTTCACTTATTTACGAGGGATCGTATTACTTTGAGTGTCTGCCTGATAAATCGTCTTCACATCGTTTCCGACATAATTTGTCAGACATACTCGACCAAGCTGAGATGAAATCTTCTGAATAATCCAAGTAATTAGGAATTATGCTAGAGAAATTCAACGAAACCTACTTTAACGATATGTGGTAGCTTAATATTGAAATTCTGAATAAATGAAATGAAATGAATTAATATTGAAACTTTTGTAAAACGTAGAAAGGACGATCTTGTCCCTGGGATTGTTATTCAGTCATATGTAAATTGAAATTTAGTTTTCTGTCAGTGGCGTCGAAAATTTTATGACAGCAATTCATTTACGTCATTACTACCTTAGATAAAAATAATAGTGAAAATTCCCTCTGAAAAAAACGACGAAAGCTGTACTTATTTCTTTCTGATAATGATGAAAAAATAAGTAGTTGTCTGTTCCCCATCCATCCTACTATATACACTACAGGGTGGCGAAAAATTACGTGCGCGCAAATTTTGACGCGATCACGTGACTGCTTTGAGCATCAAAGTCAGCTTTTACGCATCAGTTGCTTTCTTTGCATCTTCAACAATCAGCCTGTGAAGAGAAAGTTGTTCTCAAGACCATGGTGCAGGCCTGCACAAGTCGCGAGGAGATTGCACGCCTAGCCAGCGGCGGGATGAAGAACAGTGCAATTTCGTCGAAGCTCAGAATTCCTCTGAGAACAGTTCAAAAGATTGTGAAGCAATGGAAGGAGGAAGGACACGTCTTAACCAAGCCGGGAAGAGGAAGGAAGCGGACTGTCAACACAAGGAGGATGCGTGGTATTATAAAGAAGAGAATTGACCGTAAGGATGATCGGAGCATGAACAAAATGGCAGAGCAGCTCGAGATCTCCAGAAAGTCCGTTCAAATGATAGTGAAAAATGAGCTTGGGCTTCGAAGTTATCGCCTATTGAATGGACATGTTCTCACCGAAAAGACAAAGCAAAGTCGAAAAGAAAAATGCAAGAAACTGCGGGAGTTTTTCAAGGTGCGCCGAATTGAGGACGTTCTTTGGTCTGACGAAAAAGTCTTCACTGTGGAAGTGGCTAAAAACCCTCAGAATCACCGCCAACTTCTCAGTCCAGCTCTTAAGAACACCCGGAAGAGAAAAATTGCCACAAGAAGTTTGTTTCCCAAAAGTTTAATGGTTTGGGGTGGTATCAGTGCATCAGACAAGACTTCGTTGATTTTCATAGACAAAAATGTGAAAAATTGATGCGAAGTTCTACCAAAAAGAAATCCTTGAAGAAGCTGTGCTACCCTGGAAGCAAAATCATCCCAACTTCATCTTCCAGCAGGACTGGGCTCCGGCCCATGCAGCGAGATCCACCATTCAGTTCCTCGAGACCGAAATTGGCTCCTTTCTGACGAAAGATCTGTGGCCTTCTAACAGCCCAGATTTGAATCCTTTGGACTTTGCTGTTTGGGGTTATATGGAAGAGGAACTAAGGAAGAGAAACGTGAAAAGTTTGGTGGCTTTGCGAAAGGAAGTGTGCAAAATCTGGAACAGTTTGGACATCAACTACCTTCGGCGCACCGTCGACTCGATGAAAAGACGAATCGAAGCCTGTATCAAAGCAGAAGGCGGGCACTTTGAAAACTTGTTGTGATTATGTAATGTCATTGTTTGTTGTTCTAAGAAAATATTTTTCTTCCCATGTTGGTATACGAATAATAAAGTTTGAGCGTTTTTTATGGCGCACGTAATTTTTCGCCACCCTGTATTATGTGCGACCCAACCAACACTCATTTATCCGCTCGCCATTGCGTTGGAGGACAAAATCACGATAGAACCAGTTTTATGAGACACTCTGAGCCATTCAACAACCCGACGTAGAGAATGAGGTACCGCTATGCGAATCATCGGCAGAATACGAACAAAGAAAACCAGTCAACGTCATAATACACCCCACCTCAATTCAGGCGAATCAATCGAGAAAAACCGCGGAAAGCGCGTTGTTTGAGTTCACAATGGTGAACGGTGAAAATCATACTTAGTTGGAAATTTGGACTTCAATCAAAGCAAAAACAACACTTTATGCGCAAGAGAAGTTCCTTATACATCAGAACTATTTGGAATTAATATCAACACCACTGTTTTGCAAAACCAAAACCAAAGACATGTTTCAAGAAGTAAGTTCAACGGGTCATTTTTTAGGGAAAGGCCAAAAGATTTATCTCTACAAGTGATAATGTCAAAAATTCCAAGCTGTTGGCAAAGAAACCTAACAGAACCTGCGTCGAAATCAAGCTCCTGTTCAAAAGAATGTGGTGATCTGTTTCGCTCCTCCGACCGACGACATCCACGTGATCCTCGACTACTAAATCTTGAATTAATTGCCAACACAAAACATCTGTGACTAGCGGAAATAATTAATCTCTGAGAGTATACCTGCCGCTTTCATGATTATGACGTGTCTTCTCTTTGCACAGGCAAGAACCCATACTGAAAGGGAAATTGATAAAAACGTAAAACTGCGGAGGAAAACTGCGAAGTACTTGTCGAAAAGGTAAGCATTCAAATGCATTGATCTCAGCTATTCATATAATAAGTAATCTCTATAGCTCAATGCAAGGAAAGGACACTGTAAAGATTTTAAAACCCAAAAAATCAAACTGGAAATCAAACTCCAGAAACAAAACATCACAAATGAGAGATTAGAAGATTAACGTATTTCTACCACTGTATTGTGAAAAAGGCGAACTCCCTCTATTTATCAAAGTTCTCTTCACAAGCAAATGGTTCATTGGCTTTTCCACCTACAGTTAAAAATGCAGAACTAGTAAGTGTTGATCAGTTGAAAAAGGAAATAACCTGGCTTCAACTGAGACGATCTCCCCTACCAAATAGAGATGTAATGATAAAGGAGAATAATCTCTCTCTAGCCATCCGTATAAACGTAAAAGATTTAGCGGAATGAACAGACGGAAGTAGTCAAAATAATATCTTTATTGCGACGTGAAACAAAAAAAGGAAATCTCAATGGAGCACGGATCGGCGATGGAGCGCCTGCGCTACTACGAAAGCGAACTCTTGAAACAGCAACTGGGAAGTTATTTTATCTCATGGGTTGTGTATGAGAGGAGGAAGTTGTGTGTGGGAGGAAGAAAAGTACCTTGACTTTACAAAATACCAGTTCGATTTGATGTCGATGCGTGAGGTACGAAAAGTTTTAAGGTTCTAGTTGGTGGGCACGCCAATTTTGGGTGCCGCAAGGGAGAAATGTGTGTAGGGGCTGTGTATGTGAGAACCTTCAGGACGAAACAAGGAAATCGTGAGCCAGAGTGGGGCCGTTGTGGCTAATTCAGGGGTGTGGGTGAAGTTAAGATTAGTCATTTCATCATACGTGAATGGCTTAATGTGGCCGGCTGCATTCCAATAGCGTCTCTTTACATCATAGCAACAGTGAACACCAGTCTCCCACACATTTCGCGCCCACCGTATTCAAAAAATCGGCGTGCCCACCCGACTAGCATTGCGCCCTCTCAAGGTTTTAACAAAGGTGAAAAAATTTCTGACCCTAGAAAAGATTGGACGGGCGAATCATCATATCAGGATACTTCTAACCCACCTGGCCTATGCCCTAAGGGGGGCATGATGTGGGCAGTTCATATTCGGCTCAAGAAATCGAACTCATCGCAGGGAGTGAAGCTACGGGTTGGGTGCTAGCGGAGTGAATTGTTCACTGATATTGGGATTTCCTCCCCTGCAAAAACTGAAATTTCTGTGAGAGGCAGCAGGTCGCACCTCATGCCTCTCCTATCCCCCTACTGGAGAGTCTCGAAAAATTGTTTTGGTCTAGCCCTCGAATTAGGGAGACCCACCCCCTGGTGGGCGGGGCGTTCTCTAAAAAGTGCCTTATGAAAAATTTCATAACTCGGTTGGGAGAAAACCTACAGAGCAGAAAACAATTAGGTGTAAGGGAGCATCTGGGAGATTTGAACTAGTTATAAATACAAGAAGGCAAAGTTCTGTGTTTTGCTCGAATCCGATTGTGTACTGCGAATGTCATAAACAGATGTTTTGAATAATAATTGCCTGTGTACTTTGCGGTGGGAATACGTATGTAGTCGGATAAACAAGACAAAGCCATCATAACGACGAGGAAAAATGAAGGATGAGCTGGTCGAGCTGAATGACAGCGGCTGAAGACTGCCGGGTGGAACTGGGACACCGGACCAGTTTAGAGAGCAAATATTATGCGCTGTTCTCGTATAACTTCGTCAACAACTATGCAATTAATAGTCGTATTTCATGGTTTATTTTTGTTTGAAATTAGTTTATTGTGTACTATGCTCATTACATTACATTACATTATATTTATTTTACATCATTAATTTTATACACACATATATGTATTATTAATTTTCATACAAATATTTTATACATACCATACATATAATAATTTTATATGGCGCTATCGCAAGATACGGGGGCATCCTCCAAAAAGGCTTAGGAGCGGGGCGCAGGAACTTGGAGATCAGGTATCTCGCTAATACTTGAGTCTATTTCCCCTCGCCTCATTTTGGCAAGGAGATATTTACACTGTTTCATGCAGTGCTACCATTAAATGTCAGCGTATCTTGTCGATAGCACCTTTTATAGTTAATATTTTTACAACAGTAACCTTATTCTGTTTTTAGGTTTGTTGGGATCCACAGTATAGTCTGGTTGGTCGCTCGTCCGCACTATCTGATGATTCCAGGGAACTTACTATGTCTATCAGCCACTGAATAGAAGATAGTACAACCTCAACACCCTCATTTGTAAGCCCTATAAATTTTTTATTGATTTGTCCCTTACGCAGAAATATGAGGCAAGTATGTTTTGCCCAGGTTCGCATAACTGAATGCTGGATTAGAACCACTTTAGCTCAGGTAGAAAATTGGCTATGCTCACCACTGCCGTCTGGGGGTAAATCCTGACTGTGCGTCGTCCGAGCCCAACCAAGTCATCTATCGCTTCCCAGGTTAGTCAACTGGCTCCTTCCCCAAACTGTTTGGGAGGATAAACACGCCTTACAGCGTAATCGGTTGCTCCACCACGTAATTGTAGATTGCATAAAATTCGCTTTCAACTTGCGCTACGATTCCTAATGGAAGCTAGAATGCTAGCGCCATCCCAAGATCGGACATTAGTCAGCACCGAATGCGCTTGCATATACTTCCTTTCAAGAATCAACATGAGAGTGAGGGCAGACCATACACCACAAATGACGACGGCCTCCACAAATGTAAATGTTTTTGATTATCCTGTTGCAGTTGTATCACTAATTACAACTAATATTTACCAAAAATCAGCTATCGCTATGAACCACTACTAACCAGATATACTTGAAGGTCGTCACTTGTGGTGTATGGTCTGCACCCGACGTTCTTCTCCGTTTTCTGAAAGGGAGGTTACACTCGCTGCCATTGTTATATTCAGTATTATGGCGATTCCCCTTGGAAACCGTGTTTCGAGAATTCCGTCAAAGTAAGAAAAGATGGGATTAAAGTCATAAAATTTGAACCCTTTGCTCGCAGTATTTGAATAGACCGTACCACAAGTTGCGGTTAGATCTGATATTTTTTGCTGAGTGTGCATCCATGAACGTCAAATATTGACATGATACTTCACAAAGGAGGATTTATAGATTGAAAAATCACCATTCGGAAATGTTTTCGATCGAAACGAGCTGGCGAATAAAAAGAATGGTGTTACCTTCAGCTCATGCAATGTTGTGTGACTATTTGTTGGTAAAGAGAATTGTGTGGTGGTTGAAGTCCATAGCGTATTCGCAGGACTACACATAACACGGTAAGTTGACTGGTAGCTGCCGTTGTCCGGATAAAACGAGGTGCGCGTTTCGAATGCCCGTTTCTGCGAAAGTTTTGTTCCCGTTTCTTCGGCAACAACAAATACACTAAGACACGCGTATCCCCGACAGGAGCCGTCGCGCGCGATGAGGGGCGCCTGACTCCCATTCGTCTGCCTGCTCTATCGGGTACCGCTTAAAACATATCAAGCAGGCCCCCATCCCCATCCGAAGCCCTCCCCGTTCCATTGGATTGTTCTTGATGCGTCAGAGACACCTCATGTAGTTTTCATTCGAGTTCGAGAATGTGAGGTTAATCCTACATTTTCTGCACCTGTTGTGAAGGGGTTTGGATAAAGGATGGTATTGACAGTGCCGACCCTTACTTTATCGATCGAATTGCCCCAGCGCCCCGTAACCTGCGTTCAGGGAGGATCGAAACTGCCAGATAGGCGTCCCTCACAGGCCAAACTGAAAGCCTTCCAACCTCTTCTTATTCAATTAATTGGTAAACGAAATTCGACTGAGCCGATATAAACTGCTGATCTTTAACAATCAGACTGCCCCCTGGAGTCATCAAGTTATCTGCGATTCTTGGTCAATCAATTTGTCGAAATCTGTTTTATCCTGCACTGGAAGTAAGCAGCATGGCGCACGCCCGAAAAGTCGCTTTGATCGATGCCATAAAATGTTTATCTCCTATTCTTATATTGAGCAGCCCCACCCGCCGGGGTCGTAGGAGGGTCGCTTGAGTGAATCCGGATTGGTATGGGAAGATAAAGATGTGCTTTACCCTCCCCTTCAAAAAGCCAGAAATGTGCGCTGCAGACCATACACCACAAGTGACGACGGCCTGTAATGGTTCATAGTGATAGCTGATTTTTAGTAAATGATAGTTGTAATTACTGTCAACTGATCGAATACAACTGTAACAGGTTAATCATTTCATTGGCAAAAAACATTTGCATTTTCTGGAGGCCGTCGTCACTTGTGGTGTATGGTCTGCACCCGACACTTTCTGGCTTTTTGAAGGAGGGTTACTTTAGTGGGCTCCCATAATTCACTACGCCAAATCCGTATTCAAACGCCATTGCGATCCTGGATCGAAACCGATTGATAGTTTCAGGATATTCACTTCAAATTAAAATAAAAATAAATATAGCCACAAAATATAAACGTAGGTGGATTACCCCTACAGCCCAAAAATATGCATTGCACAGGTAGTATATTCAAGAGCAGCGGTACCCACCGGAGCAAACGTTGTTGAAAAGCGGCGAAGGCCTGACCAAGGCGACATGATTCGTCGAAAAAGGGCTCCCCCAAATTATGGTCCAGCGTAAGTTGGCCGAGGAAGACGCCTGGAGGCTTGACAGCTTCGAAGTTCTTACGCCCCATTTAGCCATTGGATGATTGATGGTAGCTTACAAATGCATTCAATTTGTTAGAAACCGTAATTTACGAGAATGCTTGAGAAAGAGACCAAGTAATAGAACTGGTTTACGTGTACCAGTAGAAGTCAAAACACCTCATTACCTCACCGCAACAGTAGCTTTATTCAAGTTGAGGTGTAAGATCCGTTTCGCCAAAGTACTTAATAGGCACGTTCCACGATCTCCATTAGTGGGCACTGCATGTGCAGCAAATTGAACTGTGATGGTGGGAAGCCCTTTGACAAAGATTAAATGGAGAACCTCCGAAAACACCTCAAATAAATCTCTCTATCTTCCAGA